ACGTCGCTTTTCCAGTTCGCGCGCGGCGCAGCAGTTGCCCGGACCCGCGAAGAGTTTATGCGGCTCTGGAGCTCACTTTGTCGGCCGTTGAGCAGCAGCAAAGGCGTCGTGTTGACGAGCCCGTTTCTCATTCTCGGAACGCCTTTTGCTTCCGTGAACGGTGCGCCAGCGGTTTGCAGCCCGGGCGGCGCGGACGCAAACAGATCTAGTTGCTATTTAGCGAAAATCGAAAACTGCGAGCACCTCGCGCACATTGAGCAGTTCATCAGCTGCTTCGCACACCTGGCGCAGGTGCTCGCGAACTTCGAGCGCAACGCGCAGCACGAGGAGTTGGGGCGCGAGTTTCTTCGCCGAATCAGTCTTTGGATCTTCTTCCGTATAGTCTTCTACTTGAGCTGTGCGAGCTCGCGCGAGTACCTGTTTTCGCTGCCGTTTGCTTTTCTGATGGAGGGCAGTTGGCTGGCGCAGAGTTTGGAGGAGTGCCTCGCGGCAGACGGCCGCTGCGCCACGCGGCCGCACGTGCTCTCGATCGTGGCCATTGCCGCGTCTGAGCTAAAGCTCTACAGCTCCAGAAAACGCACGCCGTTCTTGCTGGTCTGTGAGGTGGTGTCGAGTTTCGAGCTCGAAGCGTTAAAGAGCGCAGCGGCGGATCCGAAAAAGGCCAAGTTGCTGCTCAACGTCAAGCGAGTGCTCGCGAAGCTCAAGCTGTACAACTGCCCGCTCGAGTTTGTTGACTTTCTGCGCGCCGAGCGCGAGTCCACCTGTATCAGTCCCGAGTTGCTCGCGCACTCTCCGTTTTTCAGCGCCCTTTCGGGCGCAGACGCCAGCGCCTGCGTCGACGCGCGCGAAGCTCAAGAGTGGGTGAGCGAAGTGAAGTTTTCCTCCGCAGAGTTGACGACGTTTGTGCCTGACCCCAGACCGGCCCCCAGAGCTCCGGATAGCTTTGAGAGTCCGCGGGCTCGCGACGACGATGATATGGTCGATCTCGAGACGTGTTTCGCCTGTCCCGCACCCACCAACGGCGCGGGAGCGCCGCGCGGCAGGAGCGGCTCGCGGCACGCCGCAAATGTGTATCGCAAGCTGGTCTGGCCGGAGCTGTGGCAGGAGAGGCGCCAGCGGCTCAAGGCAAAATCCGCCTTCGGACACTTGCGTAGTTGGACCGTGTTCGGCGCCGTCGTCAAGTTTGGTGACGACTTCCGTCAGGAGCTGCTCGTCTCGCAGCTGGTCGACGTGACGTGCGACTTGTTTCGGCAGTACAGCTCGCCGCTCTGGCTCTATCGCTACGAAGTGCTCGTGCTCTCTGCCGACTCGGGCATGATAGAGTTTTTCAAAGACTCGGTCTCGTTCGTACAGGTCAAGCAGGCTTTGAACGCGAGCTCAATCAGCAGCGCGTTCAACCTGCTTTTTGCGGAAGTGCTGGGCGTTGCGCGCAAGAATTTCATCGAGTCCCACGCGGCGTACTCGATCCTCGGCTACATTTTGAACGTGAAGGACCGGCACAATGGGAACCTGCTGCTGCTGCCGAACGGCCGAGTGGTGCACATCGACTACGGCTTTATGTTGCTCTCGAGCCCCGGCTCCGTAAACTTCGAGCTCGCGCCGTTTAAGCTGACTGCGGAAATCATCAGCATCATGAATGGCGAGAAGTCCGCTAACTTCAAGTATTTCCGCGACCAGCTGATCAAAGGCTTTCTGCTGATACGGCGCAACGCGGACCGTCTGCTGCTTATTTTGGAAACGTGCGCTGCCAGTAAGTTTCGCGCGACACCACGCAGGCGCGGATCTTAAGTGTTTCCGCGGGAACGCAAAACTCGCCATTCAGGGCGTCAGAGAGCGGCTACTGCTAAACGTCTCGCTCGACGAGGTAAGTACTCACCGATTGTTCGCAGTGCGTCGCGCGGCTGGACGAGTTGATCCAAATGTCCATTAAGAACTGGCGCGCGCAGCAGTACGACAATTTCCAGCGACTGACGAACGGAATTTTGTAGCGCGGTTGCGCGCCTCCGAGTTTAATTCATTTTCACGGCATGGAGTTTTTCGCGTTCGCTCTGCTCATCTGCGCGCGGCTGCAGGGCGCGCTTGGCGCGCCCGAGGCCGTCGATGCCGACGCCGCGGTCACTGACGTCGACGAAGTCTCGCCGTTCGCGGCCGCCGCTCAACTGAACAAGTTCGACTACTCCGGTGCGCACTTTGCCGGGTTCGCGCCCGAGGCGCCGCTGGGCAACGCGACGGCGGAGCGGAGTGCACAGCCTGCGGGCGCCGATCCCGCGAATCCCGACTTGCTTGACTTGATTGCGAAGTCGGAAGCCATGATCACAGACCTTCGCGTGCTGCGCAGCGACACGCAGCTGCTGCTGCAAGAGGAGCAGAACGAGCTGCAGACAAAGAAGCTCGCGGGCAAGACTACGATTAACGTGATCTCGAAAGATGCCGAGGCGGACCTCGAAAAGCCGGAGGACGAGGAGGACGAGTCGCTGCTGATTGGCAAAATTAAAAAACTGGACTTCGACTTCGACCTTGCGAAGTCCTCGTTCCAGCACGAGCTCGACTACCTCAAGAGCGCAGCGGTGCAGAACAAAGCCGCGCTCTACATGGCGCGGCTGGCGGTCGAGGAACGCAACCTAGAGCGCGGCTTCGACAGGGTTACCGTGCTTGGAAATCTGCGCGGGCTGCTCGACCTGCTCGCCGCTGAAATTGAGCAGCAAGAAAGCGAGATCGACTTTCTGTTGGACGAGTTTGTGCAGGGTAACGCGCAATGTTAGTCAGGCCAGCCACTTGCGGATATTCTGAAGCAGTGAGGCCTGCGCCGGCTCGTGCGGCAGCACCGCGAAGCGCGCGGCAGCCAGTGCGCGCGCGCTGCGTCGCTCGGGGAGTGGTGCACTGTTCGCGTTCCACCTACTGGCCTGCGCACTCTGCAGCGCGTGGCTGCGCAGCAACGGATTCGCGAATGCGGCGCTGCACGGCGAACTGCGGCCCGGCGGCGCGGCGTTCACGCAGGCCGGCAGACTCGCGAGCGGGCCGCGAATGTTGATTCGCTGCTCGAGCGACTCTTTGCGGTGGCCCGTGCCTCGCGCGACCTGGAGCGAGAAGCTCTCCGCGCTGCGCTGCCGCCGGCGGGCTGGCAGGCTGAAGTCGGCAGCCGCTGCTGTTGTGCGCCGCCGCGCCGGCTGCGCCTGCACGCCCGTCTGCTCGAGCTGCCGACTCTGTCGCGCATCGAGCAGCGCGTCCTGTAAGCTGGAAAGCTCGCTCACGTACTTCTGCACCTCCAGCTCGAACGAGCTGCTCAGGTCTAGCAGCGTCTGGTTCTGCGCGGCGAGCTCTTTTTTTAGCCGCGCGTTCTGCTTCTGCAGAAGCTCGTTGCGGTAGCGCAGTTCTTTGCCTGTCTGTTGCAGCCGGTTGTCCAGCTCAGAGTTGCGCTTCTGCTCGACTGAGCGCTCCAGCATGATCAGCTTTTCGAGCCGGTTGTGCAGAAACCTTGAGGACGCGTTCAGAAGCGGCGAAGCCGTTTCTGCGCGCGGGCCGCCGTTCACGGGCGTCTGGCTCGCGACGAAGCGTGCAGCCGCGCCCGAGGGCCGCCGCAGCTGCGCGGCGTCGTAGGAATCAGACTCTCTACTGCTTGGCCGGAAAGTCAGCGGCGAGTCGTTCATGAACCGCGCGAAGCATCCGTTGCCAAGCGGCGCGGGCGACTCAGCAAAAAGAATTTAGCGAACTTATTCGCTCACAGTAAATACGGTATAGCAGGCGATAAAATTTTGTACAGATTCGCAGGCTGCGTCTCCGCTGACGCGACGCGACAAGAGCAGCGCTCGGACGCTGGCGAGCGCAGTCCCGCAGCGCTGCGCGCGTCCACGCGGTACGCGTGCTCGAATTGCGCCGACTCCACAAATTGCACGCGCAGCGCAGCGCTCGCGTTTCCCGCGCTCTCCGCCAAGTAGCGCTGCAGCTGGAAGTGCTGCAGCAGCAGCGCGCTGCGGCCCACGATGTGCACGCTGCTAAAGCACTCGCGGTAAACCGCGTGGACCGCGGCGGACGCCGCCCCGAACACTGCGCGCACAAAGTAGTTCCGCGCGACTTGGCTCTGCGAAACGGTTGACATGATTAGGCAGGGCAGTTTCGCTCCGTTTGCGGGCGCGAACAGGTGTTGCGCGCAATCTTGCAGCGCGGCCGCTAGGTCTGCGAGAAACGCCTGCAGCGCGTTTGGCAGACTCGCGGCCTCCGCGTTCAGCAGCAGCGAGTCCGCGTTAATGCACAGCGCCTGCACGCCGAGCGCCGCGGCAGCGCGGGAGCACCGCCGGCAGCCGCGACGCACGACGGCTTCGTACGTGCGCACGAACTTCGGCAACTCGGGGAAGTTCAGCAAATAGAGCTTTTGCAGCACCGCACGGTGCGTTTCGCGCGCCCACTGCTTTTCCGACAGTTTCACTGGGTACACGCAGCGCGCGAACTCAGCCTGCGGCGCTGCTGCGTCAGCGACCGCCAGCTTGTACCGCGCTTGCAGCGCGCGGCGCGCCCGTGCTACCAACTGCGCGATGCGCGCCTCCGCAGCTCCGCCGCCGGCCGCGCGCTCGGAAGTCGCGATTGCATTGTCCTTGACGAGCGACATATTACTGAGCTGATTTAGGTGCAGCAAAATCCCGCTGCCGCGCTAGCGAAACAGAAAGCGCAGCGCCATCAGCAAGAGGAAGGTACCGACGATGGTCCAGCATAGTGGCGTGAACAGAAAGTAGTATATCGGCAGCACGGAGATCGACAACCCCAGTCGGTTCACGCGACGCTTCATGGAGTCGTCGCGCGAGTCTTCGTAATTCTCTGGAAGAAAATTCAGCGGATAGTTCCGCGGCGACGCCGCGCTGTGCGGTGGCACGGCTCCGTAGGCTTCGCCGCAGTTCGCACCTGCGTCACTCTGCATGCGGTAGTACTGGTCGTACTGGTAGTTCATTTCGGGCGTAACGCTCGCGAACGCTTTTCGATCAAAGGTGCAAAATTTAAGCGCTTCTCGATCAGGCGACCATCGCGAGCCGAAGCGCGCTCTGCGGGTGGTAGCCTACCAGTGAAAAGTCGGAGACCTTCAGCGAGTCAATGTCGCTGATGTCCGCGACTTTGAGTGCGGGGAACGGGGTCGGCGTGCGACGCGTTTGCTCCACGATCGCCTCCTTATGGTTATTGTAAACATGCGCGTTTGTTACGAAGTGGACGAATTCACGCGGCTTGTAGCCCGTGAGTTTCCCGATGATGTGGCACAGCAAGCTGTACGAGGCAACGTTGAACGGCACGCCGAGTCCCCAGTCTCCGCTGCGCTGAAATAGGAAGCAGGAGATCTCTTTGCGTACGGCGTCGATGTAGAATTGGCTGAGCACGTGACACGGCGGCAGCGCCATCTCGTGCAGCGCGGCAGGGTTCCACGCCGAGAAGATGATTCTCCGCGATGTTGGCTCGCGTCGGATGGTCTCTAGCACTTCGCGGATTTGGTCGACGCCTTGCCCCGAGTAGTCCGCGTCACTGCCGCGGTACTGCGCTCCAAAGTGCCGCCACTGAAAGCCGTAGATCGGCCCAAGCTCGCCCGGCTTGTAGTGTTGCAACCCACGCGAGTCTAAGAATTCGCGCGTGCCGTTGGCTTGCCAGATCTTGACGCCGTTCTTTTCCAACTCGCGCGAGTGCGTGCCGCCGTTCAGAAACCACAGCAGCTCGCAGACGATCGACTTCCAGTGCACCTTTTTCGTAGTGAGCAACGGAAAGCTGTGTCGCAAGTCGTATCGCATCACGGCGCCGAACTTGCTGCGCGTGCCGACCGAGGTCCGGTCGTCGGAGTCAACGCCCGACTCGAGGATGTCTGCCAACACGTCCAAGTACTGGTACTCTTCGTGCAGAAAGGTTTTGTTCTGTGACTGGAGCAGCTGCGAATTCAGCTGGCGCGCGAACGCAGATCCTTCGGGTTTGCCGCTCAGTGCCGGAAACGCGTTCAGCAGCTTTAGTTCGCGCGCAACGGTGCACGCGTTCTGCTTCTTCGAAGCGAGTACGACAGTGTCGAACGTCTGCAGCGCTTCGCCGTTCGTCTTTCCGTGGAAAATGCGATCGTACTGCTGAGTGAAGGGCGCCGGGTCGACGCGCGTGTCCGTCGCGTGGGAGCCAGTCACGCGCGTGTGAAAAATGAAGTCTGCTAGCGCGCGCCGGTGCACGGCGTCGTAGACCGCGCGGCCGCCGCACACAAATTTGGTGTCCTTCGGAAAAGCTTTCAAGCACTTTTCGAGGCTGTTGAAGGTTGGCACGTTCGCCAGCGGTTGCGAGGCTAGCACCGCGACCTTACGGCCTTTGAGCCCGTGTTTCAACGATTCGTAGGTGCGCCGTCCCATGATGAGCACGTTCTCGGCAGAGCGGCGGTCATAGTGCGTCGTAATGTCGCGAAAGAGCTGCAGCTCTTTGCGGATCTTCCAGGGCAGCTTATTCCGGTAGCCGATGCCGAAGCTCAAGTCGGAGGCTGCGTAGCGGAGCGGTGAACCAACCTAAAATCGAGTACAGTTTCGGCGGCGCCAGCGGCATAACGCATTTATTTAGGAATATTGAAAATCGCGTTCGCTGCGCTCGGAAAAAGCGCTAGGCAGCGGGGCTGCTCAGCTGGTTCAGGCGCAACACGCGCGAGCGCCCTTGCGTCGCGGGCGCGTTGTCCAGTTCGATAGTGAACGTCTTCTTGATCGACTCGTTCAAGCAGTGCAATATCAGCTTGTTCTGCGGAATCGGCTGCGGCAGGCTGCTGCACTGCGTTGACAAAAATTCCAGCACCTCCGCTTTTTCCGCGTCGTCGTCGTCTAGTTGATACGAGCGGAGAAGTACGAAGTCCCAAAAGGCAATTTCGAAGAACGGTATTCTCGTGTAGAGTTCGTCGCGCACCTGGATGAGACGCGCGCAGTTGGGCGCGGCGGCGACGAGGGCAGCGCTAGCCATGTCGACGTACACCGGTACGTCGAGACAGTGGAACATTTCCATGAAGAAGATGAGCAGCGCGGGGCTGTGCGCGGGCAGTCGCATCTCGCAGGGCTCAAGCAGGAAGCGCAGCAGCAGCTCCAGCACTTTGGAAGCGCCGAAGTTCGCTTCTTTGAGCGCAAGCCGCAGCTTCTCGGTGACGCTGGTTGGCAGCGCCTTGTCGAGCAAGAGCCGGCAGGCGTTGCCGCCGTCGCGCTGCAAGTGATCATTGATCGCGGTGGCGCGCGAGAAAAGTGCCAACGGCATCGACAGCGAGACGCCAAACAGCTGCACGGCGAATTGCCGCACCGAGCGCAGCGAGTTATGCCAGAGCGCAAACTGCTTGCCTGCCTGGTTCCGGTACTGGAGCTGCAGCCGTATCGTGAGTGCGTTTTCGCTACTGTTTTGTAGCGCGTCCGCAATTTGGTCGAACGACACGAACAGGTCGTTGCCGCGCATTTCTTGCGGGTTGAGCGGCGGTACCCAAACGTCCGACATAAACGCCAGGTCCACTTGGTCCGTGACGCTCACGCTGAGCGCGTAGCGCGGGAGACAGCGCTCAATTGAGTCGCCGTAGTCTG